GCCCTCATTCGACCTCATACCCCAATTATACTAGTAGGAACAAATCTGTTTTATTTCTCCTTCAGTAAATAAAAGAACAAAATATCCTGAAATTCTAGTGATTTTAGTAAGTAACACTGTAACAACTTTTCCCATTTAGGAACAAACCAGTTTCATTAAAAAATATAAACCAATGTACAAAAGTTTTAATAATGCACAGAAATTTAAGGTGGCCAACCCGGTACCGGTACTAATACTGGGGGTAATTTGCCATTTACAAGGAAAAAAAAAGTTTCATTCAGATATCTAGATTCTAGATATAATGTTTCACATGATCGTCGGTCGTGGTAAGCTGCTAAGTTTTGATAATAAATGTGATGTCACTTCTACAACTATGTTCTTTGTATTATCATAACCCGCATTCCACACTTTCCAGGAGAAATTGCGCTTATTAAAAAATGTTGTTTATTCTTTTTCAAAATCATTTATATTTTCAAAATTTGCTGGATGAAAACTGTCAGAAGCAATGTAAGGTCTCAGCGTTTGGTTAAGCACCTCAGCTGTGTTAAACAGTTATCATGTAAGTTTGGAGTTCAAATAAAATCCCCTATTTTTAGAAAATGTATAATATGTTTTCACCCCCCCCCCCCCCAATTGACAGACTTTAAATCCTATTTAGGAGGCGGGCTTCCAACCTTGCTTGCAAGGACCAACCAGGGCTGAGAGGGATATAACATCCAAGAAGAAAGAACAAGATGCTCGATCAAAATCCCCCCCCCACTCAAGAATCGAACTCGGGTCTCCTGCGTGTGACAATAAATTGTCTAACTGCTACACCACAGATGCCGACAAATTCCTCTGTTGCAATGGTATTTGCTATGGTTAAGAAGAAAAATCTTATCTCCAGGATAATAGAACCAGGTGGATGGGGATCCTTGAAAACTGCTCAAACTTCCCAAGTTAAATCACACCTGTTATTAATTAAGAACTATTGTTATTTGCACCGTAAGAAATTGCGTCTTTTTTATTCAGGAATATTTATACCCCCTCCACATAATTAAGATCATAAAGGAGGCTAGTTTCTACCCTACCTGTCAGGGCCAACCCGTGCTGAGAAGGATTACAACGTCCGAGCAAATAAACCAAGACCGAAATATTCAATAAAACTTCTCCTGACACGGGAATCGAACTCTGGTCTTCTGTGTGCGACGGAGAAGCGCCTTGCCGTTACACTACAAACGCCGATTGTTGAGCCGTAGTCCAGTTTTGGGGGTAATTCAATAACGAGAGACCACTTTATGAAATAGAGTATAGAATAGAGGGTTAGGGTTAGGGTCAAAGCTAGGGTTACGGCGTTAGTGTTAGGGTTAGGATTTGGGCTATGGTTAGCGTTTGCGTTAGGGGTAGGGTTATAATAAGGGTTAGGTCTCTTTTTTATTTTGTTTGTAGAAGTGGTCGCTCCTTCAATATTTGTAGATCTACAGAAATCTTTCCCCAGTTTTAAATCAACAAAGCTTTTTAAACAGTCGATCTTCATCATTAACCTTTCGCAACACTCATAATGAACATTTTTAAATTGAAAAAACCCAACAAAAAACAACAACCAAAAACACAACCACTCCCCCCCCCCCCCAACCAATACGACAAAAGGCAGAAATGATGAGATCTGTTTATGTGAATCCTACAAGAAGAATGCTATTTTAAAACCATTTCAGTTTAGTTTTACTCTAGGCTAAGTAGGCGTTTTACGGCACTTGCAACGAATTAGGTCCTAAAGTCAATGTAGGAGATTAGAGGTGTTACGAGAGAGTAACAAACACGAGAAAGGAGGAGAGATATGGACGATGTGGATATAATTCTAAGGGAAAAAAGAGCAAACCATACCAGAGCATCCGCCAACACCAACTAGGCCTAATCTAAATAATTTTTAAAACAAACTTACGGTGTGCATCACTGTCTGGTCTGAATTCGCAATGTGAAACATGTCCTCTTCGGCTTCTATAATATTATCCTTGAGCTGTTGGTATAGAGCACGAAAAATCCTCAATGAAGTCTGTGTGCATCGATTCGCGTCGGAGACGACATTTCCTCTCCGACAAAAAACAAAACAAAACAAATTATGCACACTAAAAAAACTCGGTCACGATCACCATGCGCGACTGGCGCTGAAGTGAATGGAACGTCACACGATGGGTGATTCAGAATACGCGTATAGAATCTACTCATGCACTATTGGTGCTCAGAGGAAAAACTGAACGGATATATTATATTACATGATGGTTTTGTGTAGTTATCTGTCACTTCCTCATCACAGCTGTCCTTGAAAGATATTCTATATCCGTCAGGTCCAAAGCCTACTACTGTAAGAAAAAATGAAAAAGTAGGACAAAATGACGAAAGCAGCCACAGACTGTCGTAAATAATGGCGGGGGAACACACCAAGCACTAAGTCTCCGAGATCGTGTTACCTAGGCTACAGGTTCGTCTATTTGAAAAAAAAAGCCACCACCAACAACAAAACAACAAACCACCAACAAAAAAATCGTTAACTTGTCACCGTCCCATCACTTACAAACGATAGTTTTAACTTTTAAAACACGCAGCGGGCAAAAAAATAATATTATGTCCGACCCGCAGCACACCGAAGCCAGGCAGGTAATGTTGCGCACTTTTCAAACCGCGGCGCACACATTAGAAATACTTTTTGACAGCAACAAAAAGACACCCCCCTATCAGATGGAGAAAATAAAACTGAAAAGTTTTAATGAGTAACAAAATGTATGCATCTTTAAAAAAAATCTAAAGTGACCCCCCCTCCCCCAACACACACGCACAGCGCGTCTTCAAAAAAATGACCACAGCGCGTGTTCTCAGTGAGTTTAGTCCAGTTGAAACCCGTGCAACTGTTCAAAACACGGCATTCACTGTGTCACTGGCACGCCGTGGCGCAGATCTGTCCCCCCCCCCC